TGTTGAGTTTGGTCAAGTCTTGTTGACCCTTGATGAGAGATTTATCATGCTCCCAAGATCAAAATCACGTACACGCCACATATGTGTGTCAGCTTCTATATCGGAAGTACGCAAAAAACATGTTTTCATCCACTCAAAGTGTTCTCGCTCCTACACCGGGGAAGACAAAAATATATTTGCTAGATTTTATCATAATAAATGCTCCTAGTTCTTGATAATATTTCTCTCAAAAGTTGTTGTAAAAAGAGACATGGGTTATGCAAAATATAAAAGATAGACACAAAAGAGGTCCAAAGTAAAAAGGAGAAAAAGGAAAAAGAAATGATAATAAAGATAACCCATGTTCTCGCAAAAAATATTCCACAAGAGAGAAATATATTTCAGAGAGCATAGTAGAATTAGGTTAGCCACCAAATATTCCACACACATGCACATCTTGATCTAAGAGTATGACACTTCTCTCCTGGGATCCGAGATTTGACCTTACAATATATGCAAGGTAAGTAGGCTACATATTTTTATCCCTACCTGAACTCCACATAGGCTTTTTAGAAGCAGAATAAAGAGAGACAAAGCAATGCTTTGATAAGGAACAATGCACACTGAGCGATCTGAGAGAATCATTTGGGGAGCAAAGCTATGTTTTGATTTTTTTTTAAAAATCTTTCAAAAAAAAAAAAACCCCAAGTTTTCTGAGCAGGAGAAGTGAGGATGACTGGATTCTAATCCGTTCTATTCTTCAACCACCCAAGATGGTGTGATAGACACTTCAGAGTTCACATGTGTGGGTGAGGCTTGGAATAAGGTAATACTGTTGCTAGTGAATTCTTCAGCTCTTTACCAGTGATTTGAGAGCCGATTATAGTTATAAACTCGGGGGGCCACCTCTTAATCGGCTAAATCAGATGAACAGTCATACCAAGCAAATCATCAAGGCCAAGTATTGCAATCAGATGTCGCTGACTCACGAAAGAAGACCATCGGATTGAAATAGTTCGAAGCATGAAAATTCATACTCCGAACTAGGGGGGCCTGTGTTGACACCAAAATTTGGTAATTGGGAAGAAAGCGGCTGGTAACGTAAAAAGAAGAAAATCTCCGATAATGACCATGACTCGAAAGCCGATGAGATATATACGATGGAGTCGTTCATGCTCAGAAATTAATGGGGAGCAGCAAAAGGTCAAACAGCTGGCAGTTCTGATGTGCCTACCATCTTGTTTGTTACATATACGTGATGCATTATTGGGCAACCGGCAAGGTAAATGGAAAAGGATGAGAGGCCAAGTGCTATACGAGCTATGCTTGACATGGATGCCAGCAAGATTAAGATCAGTTAACGAGGAAGGGATATTTTAATATTTGTTTGGCCGGGCTGCATAAGGAAATAAATCAAATATATCTTTGGATGGAGATGTGAAGCTTCTTGATTAAAGAAAGAGTCCATGCATGAAGGAAATAATACGATCCCTGGTTGCCGACGTAGTGATTAGTGAAGATGCAAGCCAATAAAGATGCGTCCAAGCAAATATATACGTACATGTTACCAGGCCACTGTGGGGAAGATTTCCAAGATCGGCTAGTCAAGGTGGGCCCGCATGTGGGAAGAAGGACATTCGGCAAACAAAACGAGGCGGTCGGCTAAATGCTTGTGCGGTCGGTTACTTCGAAGGTGGTGACTCCATTCGGGAAAGCAGAAGATGGCAAGCAAAGCCGATCGAAAAGATGAAAGTTGTAATAATAAAGGACTCTGAGAGTTTGGGGCAAGGAATCGTAGTTTCCAAGTTTGTTTAAGAGTTCCTTTGTAAATCGTAGTCTTTAGGACTCGTGTTTCGCCTAGGGTATAAATATTGACCCTCGACCATTGTAATAGGCGTCACAACCAAATCAATACAACCGCCCCGTGCCAACTTTCGAGTCCTTTTGTCGTGTAGTCGAGTTCTTCGAGAGGAGTCATCGATCCGTCGACCTCCGTAAGTTCCAACAACCTTGTTATCATGTTTAGTATCATGCGGTGGATTTAGACGTGATGCAAGTAGTCTTGTTTGTTTTCAATGATCGTCGCGGATCTTTGCTTGACAATCAAGAAGTCTTTGCTTATACTTTGTTTATGAGTAGATACCGTATGGCGTGCGTTTGCTCAATATGCTTAGTGGAAGCAAGATGCTTATCGGCTCTATTAGATTACGGCAAAATCTAAATAGATTCATCAAGTTATCCTGTGTTGCATGTTTTAAATATTTTATATATTTGTAACACACTTTTGCCCAATCTAGATTGATATTGTTCGCCCTCTTCTATGGTTTTATTCGAGCTTCAATGATCATTACTTTCATAATACCTTTGCAAATAGATAACATGCTCGTAATGGCTGAATTATTTTAATCTAGATTGTCACATGTTGTGGGTTCATGTATGTTAATCACGTTTAAGTTTTTGACGAAACTAGGTGTCGTGCGTGCGCATTTGCAGTTTTAGATTGGTTTAATCGTGTTTATCTACACGTTCCTTCTTCATGGACCCCAACTCGGCTGGATTGCTGAGCTTGGATATGCATTAAAGCATAATCAATTTCACTTGTTCAAACATGTCTTCCCATGCATATGCATTCGGCAATCAGATCTTTACATATGTCCATCCTACGATTAGCCAATGATTTATAAACTTGTTGGCGACATGCCTTCCTATAGTCGTATGTCGTTTGTAAAATAACTTCGGGCGTATATACGGAATCTATGCGGTCTCACCCGACATGTTCCGGTTTGACATTTAACTGCTTTTATCCTTGTCGGCTTTCTTTCGAGTCAAACTGACTGGCACGTTCCGGATCACGAAACACCCGGGCACCCGATTGAAGCTACGCTTTTCGGCTTGCTGTGTGTGCGGCACAGTGCGTCACATTTTGTGTCAACAAGGTCCATGGGGGGCCTCGGGTTTATGAACCCGACATCGTTGCTGGTCATTTCGTTTGGTCCAAGATAAGGAGAGCCATGGAGAGATTCATTGTGCTTCATAATCAACCAAAAAGCTAAGTCACACCTTAGTCCTCACGATTTGTATATGCCTCTACCTATTCCTGACGCACCATAGAAGGATATTCCATGGGCACTATTTTAGGGCTGCCTAGAACAAAGAAGGGGAGGGATAGTGTCTTTGTTGTAGTGGATAGATTTTTTAAGATGGCTCATTTCATACCATGTAATAAGAGTGATGATGCTACACGTACATGTTGTTGATTTGTTTTTTCCATGAGATTGTTTGCTTGCATGGTATGCCAGATACCATTGTGTTCCGATCATGATGCAAAATTTTGTTAGCTATTTTTGGAGAACTTTATGGGCTAAGCTAGGGAGTAAGCTTTTCATTTTCCACTACTTGTCATCCCCAAACTGATCGACAAACTAAGGTTGTGAATATAACTTTATCTACAATGCTTACGGTTGTTTTCAAAAAGAACATAAAAGTGTGGAGAAAATACTTACCTCATGTTGAGTTTGCTTATAACCATTCACAACATTATACTACTAAGAAATGCCCTTTTGATATTGTTTATGTATTTGTGCCACATGCTCCTGTTGATTTGTTGCCTCTTCCAACATCAGAGCGAGTGAACCTTGATGCTAAGCAGCGCGTTGAGCTGATCTTAAACGTGCATGAATGCAAAGTATAAACTACTTCTTGGTTGCAAAGGTTTGAACCTAGTGATCTAGTTTGGCTACATTTGAGAAAGGATAGATTCCCTAATTTGAGGAAGTCAAAGGTGTTTCCTAAAGTTGATGGTCCTTGAGAGTGATAGAAAATTTTAACGATAACACATATAAACCTGAGCTGCCCGCAGATTTTGAGGTTTGTCCAACATTTTAACATGCAAATTCGATGCCTCATTCGAAAAAAAAATGAGCTTGAGTCGAGGGCGACTCAAATTCAAGAAGGGGAGGATGATAAGAACATCCCTTCCATTGATACAACTATGCCTATTGCACAACAAGGACCAATGACTCAAGCTCGTGCACGATAACTCAATTATCAGGTAAAGTCGTTCCTCGTTCAAACAAGTTACCAAGTGAGGGTACTACTAATGCCTTGTGTGATGATTTTCTCATGCTTATTAAGAAAATGGAGGAAGAACCGTCTCAGTGGAGGAGTGATAAAAATAACCATCAAGTGGGCATTACCATGAACTAGAGGAAGATCAGGTCGAACATTTGGACTACATGTGCAGACCTCCAAGCATCGTCATCTTTAATCAGCCATAACTTCCGATTCCAGACAAAGCTAAAGGTCTTTGAGTACTTGTTGGAATGATCTTGAACTCTACTTTTCAAATGGACCTAACCTCATGGTCAAATTCCATTGGACTTGATCATAATCGACCATAAGATGTTTAGACCTCCAGTCATAGGCTGAGTCCTTGTATCAAGTTAATCCCACTAGGGACCCATTCTACGCAAGGGTTTACACCTCCCCATGCCTTCTGGCTATGTTCTACCTATAAATACTACTGGCGCCACCAGGAATGGGTTCAGTTCTTGTTTAGATAAAAGTTTAGCTTCTAGCTGCTTCTTTGCAACGCGTGTGTCGATCTAGACCACCTGGCTGCTTGTATCTAGAACTCCAAATTCATGATGCGTATTTCATCTCTTAGACAAGGTATATGCGTTGTTTGCTTCCACTTGTTCTTCGATTTGCTTGCAAGTTTAAGATTGTTCTTGGTATAGTAAGAATAGCAGGAAATTAGAACTGGTATAATTGTCGCTATGGTGCACTGTTGACTGTTGCCCTAAATCTGAGTTTATCACCACTCACCGAAGGATCAGAGACAACCTTTGTCGTATCACTCGCCCTTGTTGGATATTGAGATATGAATTAAAGAAACAGAAAACCTTTTTTCATCATAATAAAAGAGTAAAAAAACACACAGAAAATATCAAATGCGTCTCGAGACCTCTTCATGCTCTTCTAACTACCCTACCCATTACTCGATGTGACACCGGCGACGGCTACTGCGAGTTCGACATGGAACCACCACCGTCCTCTCTAATTGGCACCGGTGACGTTGATGCTGATGCGATCACCTCTATGCTTTCCAATGTTCCAACGCTCCTCGCCGACAACTGCCTGCTTGAGCTGAACCTCATCGGCGACGGCGGCTTGGATGGGACAACCACGATTTCAGACACCCCCGGAGGCGGTGACTTTGAGCATGTATCGTCCACCCTGGCATACACATGCGGCGTCCGAGACGGAGTCCTCGACCCAGTGTGAAGCCTTGGCGATGGTGATTTCGAGACGATGATGTTATCCCCAAATCCACTTGTCGAGCAGGAGCAGCTGTTTCTCAACGGCGACCGCGCCAGGATGTCCGCCAGGACCCTCGATGCCGTGGGCCGCTCAGGCGACACGCCGCATCGTCGCAGCTGCGGCAGCGGCGGGGACATGGCCGCCTCGGCCAGCCGCGCACGCTTGGGCTCCGGGTGCGCGCGGCACACGGGACACGTCGAGTGCGCGCGCAGCCAGGCGTCGATGCAGCCGCCGTGGAAGAAGTGCCTGCACGCGGGCAGCACGCGCACGACGTCGCCGTCCTCCATCTCCTGCAGGCACACGACGCACTCCACCGCGCGGCCAGGCGTCCGCCCCTTACTGCTGCTCCTCCCGCCACCGTGCGGCGACGCCGACGCGGCCCGCGCCCGGTACGTGAACGTGGGCAGCGCGGCGATGTCGTCCACGCTAAGCCCGAGCGTCGTCCCGGACGCCTCGGCCTCGGCGTGGCCGCCTGCCTGGAGCCGGCGCCACTCGGCCAGGACCGACTGGCCAAGGCGGAAGGCCATGTAGAGTATCACGCCGGCGAGGACCGCGATGATGATGTACAGCAGCGTGAAGTTGGAGCTGGAGGTGCCGGATTCCGCCGGGGCATCGCCCAAAGGGTTGGGCGGCGGCGAGACGGTCGTGGACATGGCTGCTGCTGCTCCAACGAGAACGTCCGATTCCGATGACCTGGTCTAGAGATGATTTCAGCGAGAGACATGTCGCTGCGAACCGATCAAATCATTGAGCTGTGGTTGACGTGAGGTTTAGACGGAGGCATGAAAGAGGATGTGTGCGCCGCATGCATGCCAAGTGCATGATAGATTTGCAGTTGGGTCGCTAGCTGGACTCGGCCTGGGTTAAGAAGACATGACGTTGCGTGCTAAATATCATATGATGACCTTGTAAACAGCATGTCGCTGGTGTTCGATTGTTCATAGAGACTAACTGGATAATTATGTTGAGTTGTTGCTGACTTGCTGGTGTTCTTTTGTCCCCTGTGTGTAGTTTAGTCGTCGAACTGCGGGCTTCACATCGATCGATCGATCATTCAGTGACAGTGATGATCTGGTGCAAGCATGGGTGATCCTAGAATAGTGAATAGTTCAGTTGAATTTGCTGGTAGACACTTGGATAGGGTCAAAGTCAACTTCATAGTAGTTAAGGCAACTGATGCATGGATTCTTTAACGGAAAATCGAACATACAAACATGAGTACGTTTTGGGCTCTTCACACGCGATCTTTAATTCTTTAGCCCCGTCGGTAACAATCTTTTTTAAAGGGATTTGTTAAATTTTACATGCCTGAATTTAGTTTTCTTTTATACGACGGTTATTGTATATATTTTTATACTAAAATTATAGTTTTAGTTCGTTACAATTTCTATAGACAAAACCACAAACCTGATAAAATCTAATATGTGTTAACATAAAGACAATTTAACAATTTACAATTACTTTTTTATAGTGAGACAAGGACAAAAAATGATATATTATGACACAAAGACAAATAATAAATTATAAAAGTGACAATTTACTTGTACTATAATTGGTAGTACAAGAGTGTTGTCTGAAATCATTTTAAAATTCAGGCACCTGAAATCATCTTAAAATTCAGGCACCTGAAATATAGGAAAAATGTTTTTTAAATCTACTCTCTAATAAACTCTCGTTTGAAGAATTATTATAAAAAATTCTTTACATTTCTCCACCCTCCAAAAACATCTCTATATCTTGTTCAGCACTTTAAAGAATCAGTTCTGTTATCTTTCTTTTGTGAGCTAGAAAACAAGAATAAAAGATGGAAACATTTGGAGATCAAATTGAAGATCCCTATTGGTGAGAATTTTGTTTATCAAATTCTCTAATTCAATTAATAAAGATGGATACAAAGAGTGTTCTCGAGTTGCCCCCGCTGATGTCGCCTGTGTTTCTGTTGTCAGACAGACCTTGCCTCCCATTTGATGATGTTTTGTTTTACCCTCCTGGCATGTGGATCCCACACGCCATTGTCTATTCATACCACAATTACAGTTAGCTTGTGCTGAAATTATAGCTACTTTACACTGAAAGTGTCGGTGTTTCGGATCATCGGCTTGTAAATTTGTATCTGCGCGTCTGATCCGGATGGTGTGCTCGGAGGACACAAGGATTTATACCGGTTCGGGTGGAATGTCCATACGTACAGTCTGTTGCTGCTCGTGTTACCGACACTAGTTTGTAGTAGGGGTTACAAACGGACGAGAAAGAGAGCGGATCCCAGATCTCTGGTGGAAGGATTGAAGAGTGCTGAGAATTTGTTCAGCTGTCTCCCCCAACCGTGGGACGTCATGCTTTCCCTTTTATAGGTGAAGGAGAAGGCACAGGTTACAGGGAGAGAGAAAGAGAGGAAAGGGGAAAAGCGAGGGAGAAGAAGGCCTCCAGGGCCGTCGCATCCTTCTTTTTCTTCTTGCGGGTCCTGCCGATGCTGTATATGGTGACGGGGATGGTTCCACGTCGGGCGATGCGAACCCCCGAGCGGGCATTTAATACAACTTTCTCCAATTATTTTCTTCTAGTTTTCGCCATGCTCCTCCAATTATTATTTCTCCATTTATTTTTGATAATTAAATGTCTCCACGTTTAATATCTACGTGTTTAAGATATTCCATAATGTAATATCCAACCAATTGATCGGACTATTCGGCGCTCACTTCTACTCGGCGCTCACTTCGCCGCCGACTAGTTGGTTGGGCTGCTCGGTGCTCAATTCTTCGCCAACCAACTATTCGGATTGTCTATCGCTTCATCATCAGCTACGCTTAGGGAGAACCAGATGGGAATTTTCCATCATCATCACCATCTACAGCTGACGACTTGGCTCCATGAGACGGCGATCTCAACTCAAGGCTCCAAGGCGCATCACTCTTCGTAAGAGTTCTCCGGAGGTCCAACGCTGCGCTTCATCGGCACCAATCAAGGAGATGGCTACATGCGGCAAGGCAGCAACATGCAGGTCAACTTCAAGAATTTAGCTGCATCACCCGACATCGACTCCTCATTATCCTTCGGCGGCGCTTATCAGCCCTCATCAATGGCTCGCGTGGTCCTCGCTATCGACTCGACATTACGAGGCAACTCACGGCGACACCCTTGTGATTTTCACTAAGATCAACGTCAACAAGCAAAGCACGACGTATTATCTACAATACCATGCAACATAAGTAAACAAACCATCATGGTGCTTTGACTACATCTACATACAGCTATATATGGCCATGCAGCCCGAGCCCGTCGGCCTGGCCCAAGGCCCATTTTTTTGGCCCGGCCCGGCGGCAAGTGGGCCCGGGCTGGCATGGCCCGGAGGAGCAGGCCGTGCCTGGGCCTTACCCTAGGCATGTGGGCTAGCATGGCATGGCCCGCTCCTCAATCGGAGGCCCACTGGCGCCCAGCCTGCCTCCTCCCCGCGCCCCCTCCCCATGCCCCTGCATATATAAGCGGGGAGCGTCAGCTGAACCGCTCGTCCAGTCGCCCCTCGCCCGCTCCACAGTCCGCTCCCAACCTAACCCTAATCCCCACTAGCTCGCCACAGCGCAATCTCTGCTCTCTCTCGCCTGCATCGGCCGCATCCACGATGTGGCGAATCTGAGCTCCCTCTCGTGATCTCGTCCGTCCTCCCTGACTCCGATGACCTCAATCCGCCTGTCTGACCATGTCTCCACTCTCCTCCCTTCTCCCTCTCTCCTCTCGACCTCTCGCTCTCGGTGAACTATATGAGTTTGCAACCATATTGCCGTCCGTCCCTCCTCCGCCGTTCACCGTCGTTTCTAATCGGTGTCTCTCCTCTGGGTGGCCCTCATCATCTTCGGCACCGGGCTCCGGTTGCAGAGTAGTCCATGAACCCAAACCCTAACCCTAACCCTAGATTTGTCTTCTTGTTTCTCTAGAGACCAAGTGACTGACCCTAGATCTGGATCTCTATCTCTCAGACTTTGTTTACACCAAAATTTGAAAGAAGAGTTGCAGGGACTCAAAAGTTCCCAAAATCATGTCGTCAAGGAATCAATTGCGTGCAGATCGGAACCAGTTGATTCGGATGCCAAACACTAGAATCGGCTTTCTCCGGATATCGCCAACGGATAACGATGAAGGCTACGATTTGACGCCAGGACGAAACATGTAGGACTCTGCAAAAAGGGAAAGATTAGAGTCCAAGTTATCTTAAATTAGGAATGTTTTCTTTAGAGTCAAAATTTGTGATGAGTCATGCTTAGATAGGAGTCGTGCGCAGGTCCCGGGTATAAATACCAAACCCCAGCTATTGTAAAAGGACAACCAATCAATCCAATATACAAGTTATATACTTTTTTGGCTCCGGCCACCCCTTAGGAGTAGGAGTAGAGTAGATTTTGGCGAGTTCTTCAGCAAGTACGGCTGCATCGATTCGGTCGACCTCCACTGCTTGTTGTAAGTACCGTCATGGTTTATACCTCTGTTTGTATGACTGCATCGATCCGGTCGACCACCGCTGCGGCCCTGGTATAAGCTAGTTATTGACTCTTGTTTAATTCAATTATGGCCTATGTGATTCTGCCTCACACCCCACTGCTTGAATTAAATCAAGGTCAAGTTATCGGCTCTACCTTAGAATGACATTCTTTGGTAGATTCATTAAGTTACCGATATTGCTTATTGCTTTTATTATTTATCTAATTACAGCAATATCACTCTGCCCGATTGAGATTGATTTAGATCAGCCTTATATCTTATTTGACCCATCGTTTGCTAACCTAAAACTGATCTAATCTACACCTTAAACGATGAGTTACGTTTTATCGGCTATTTTACATCAATCTTAATCGTGCATAACGTGCGGTTAAGGCATGTTGCGTCTTGAGTAGATCTATTGGTTAGCGAGAACCGTTCCATGGCCCGTTATCATGGCCTATGTGATTCTGCCTCACACCCCACTATTAGCACCGTGGAGTGGAGATCATTATTTAGTAGATCTATTCCTGGTAAGGCATGACTTTAATTGTGCGTTATGCCTGAATCGGTTGTTTTAGCCGATATCGAGTGCTTTCACGAACAGTTCGCATCATGAGACCATTGAAGTAAAGATAGGTTGAAACATATGTTAGCCCCATGATTTTATTATTGTATTATGGCCTGCATGATTCTGCCTCATGCCCCACTAATATTAGTAATGAGTTAGGGTCGTCGAGTCTATTGTTATTTCTACGGCCTGCATGATTCTGCCTCATGCCCCACTGGTCATGATGATATATGAGATCTAACTTGTCCATTAGATTTATCTTTATTAAACGGTTAAGTGGTGTTGAATTGTCTCTTTATATAAAAAGGGGTTCGGTTACTTATAATCATTGGCTCAGCACAAACCGATCATTGTTGACATCTTATTGCCATTGGTTAATATCTGTTCGATTAATGATATTTATCCTGAATGATAACCGATTCTTCTTACATAACCCCATGAGCTTTAACTGGTTTATTCTCATGAATATACTGGAATCGACTATTTAGTCGATCTCCTTTCATATTGGCTCTCATAGCCGCACATTCGGGACTATCTGGTAACACCGGCAAGTTCCACCCTTAATTACTGATGAACTTTCTCTCCTTATCAATTGTAGGGTCAAATTAACTGGCA